AGACTTACCTCCTACTTTCTACACGGGAAAAAACTACGTAACAACTATAAAATACCCCGTTCTGTTCGGGAAAAGAATTACTATATTTTTGAAAAGGGTAAAAGGGTATATTGTCCGTTCGTCCGTCAGTATGAACGCTGAGATCTCGGAAACTATAAAACCTAGAATGTTGGAATTAATCATGCAGACTTTTCAGGTTCCTGCGCACTGCAAGTTTGTTTCATTAAGTTGCCACGCCCACTTTAACGTCCACAATCGCCTTAAACTTCAATTGTGTCTGGCGCCCACATCTTCAAAGATTTCGAAAAGTGTAAGTGCAATTTTATTGCATTTATTATATAAATGTAGATATTTTTCAAATCGGACCATTCATAAAAGGGTTATGCGCAATCAAAGTTTTATATCTCCATCTACCTCGCACTCCTTTAAGCTGAGTGACCGGTATCAGATAGTCGTATTTAAAAAATAAAAAAATACCCGATTTAATTTTAAAAGAAATATATCTTTTGTAATGACTTAAAACAATGATTTGATAAAAAAAACCTTTTTCCTGTGTAGCTCTCATCGTATCTAGCTCTTTTTCCCCCTCCCATTTCTCCATCAGCTGTCATTTTTTGCCACTTCCCCCCTTCCCTGCTCTTCCTCTCTATTTGCCTTTGTAGTATGAAGAAGTGATTTGCTAGTGCCACGCCCACATTCCCACCGCCTTTCTCTTCAACTCTCTGTTTCTTTTCCTCGTGTAAACAAGACATTAAGTACAACAAAATAATTAAAGTCAATTAGTGGCTCTTGCCTGTGCAACTAGCTTTTGTCTATCCATCCCTCTCTGGTCCCCGTTCCTTTCTCGCTCTAAGCCTTGGTGAGTTGGCTTTTGCCTCAGTTGTTGTTGATTTAGTTTTGGCTTATAATGATATTGTAGGGCTCCTTCAGGGGCTGTCATTAGCGTCATAGATGCACACACTCGAGCACATCAGAACAGCCACACACATGCTGGAGCCACCCGCACATCATAATTTATTAAATCAACTTGTGCTTGGGATGAACTTTGCTCTTTTGGCTAAAGCGAACACTCCTTCAATGCCAGAATTATCTGAGGATAATTCTTAGTAATAGAAGATAATTGTGCCACTTTGAATATCTCTAACCATATTAAATATGGAATACATAAATTATTTGATAGAATGTGTTACCTATTTAATTTTTCAACTAATATTCTCTTGTTGCAATGAATTTGTGAATTTATAATCTGCAATTTAGCTCATGGAAACATTATAATCATTATTATCGACCTAACTTTAAGATATGGTGAACCGTCGTTAAAAAACACTGCAAAATTTATATATTCCCTTGAAATATCCTACTTTTACTTGCGGAATTCTGAAAACAACAGGACAAAAAATTGCACTGAAAAGCTTAAATTAATATTCCTCTGTCAACACAATGACCAACAATTAAGTGAAGCTTTTTAATTAAGGATTAATATGTAAATACACGCACATGTGTATGAAAATCGGCAATCTCTGATATTTATTTCGTTCTGATTCAATAATTGAATTTACAGCAAAGACAAAAGACGGCGCAAAGGCTTTTCATTCGCATATTATTTTGCAATTTAAACAATAATAATTTTTTGTAATACAATTACAATGCTCGATTCAAGTTGCTCGTTTCTATTGTTTCGTTTTGTGGACAATGGCGAAATAAACCCTCGCTGGCAATGGATATTAAAAAATAAACAGAGTTGCAGAGTTTCAAGTTCCTTGGCATGAACAGCCACTCAAAAAGAATCGAAGCCCCACAAGTGACTTTTATGCCGGAGAATAAAGTTTGCCAGGGAGCTTATTGATTACAAAGTAATGAGGTAAAAACAATGCTGGCATTTTCCATACACATACTGGCAGCTCCACCCCGAATTGATTGATTTTACTCCGGCATCAGAGGGAATTTACATTTCCATTTGAAGTAATTTAGAAATAAACATTAGCGTCAGGAGCCAATGAAGCGGTCGTAATCGTTAAGCAATAAAGTGCCACGCCCTCCGGACAAATTGCCACTGGCGACACTTCAAAGTCCGGGCAAGTGGATGAGGAAAATTACATTTGTACGGAACCGAATTTGCATGCGAAATGTTTTCCTAATGATTTTCCGAAGCATTAAAACCGGAGCGGAGCTCCCTTCTTGATCGGGCTGAGAGCTTATTTCACTTGGTATTTAAATTACATTTATCGTTGGGCAAATTGGAAGTGCTCACAACTTTGATTTTAGTCGGCAGGCTCTTTAATAATAATGATTTCAAGTCATTTCCAATTTCCCGGCAGCCTGCTAATGACTTCTTCTTCTGCCCACAGGGCGTATGATTAATACTTTGTTTACACTCGAAGTAGCCGCCGCCGAGGAAAATTGAATTCTCAATTCATCACCTTCCTCTTCAGCCGGACGAATTTTGCATAAATATTTCGGCAAAGTGCTGAAAGAGCCAGCCAGCCAGCTCCATCATCAGTTTAACAAACTAATTTGCTTGCCAAAAAGACTTTTTCGAGAGCATTTTATAAGTCATATTTACGTTGGCCGCCTGCCAAGTGGCCTTTGTGTCCGGTATTTTGACGGCAGGAGCTCAATTTAAGTGAGTGCCAGCAGCCTCCTCCTTTCTGGGCCTAATGATGTTATTCAAGTTGACTAAAGGTGTTTTCTGGGCATGAAAGACTATCGGATGGCAGGACTTAAAGTCGCAGAGGAAACCAGTCATTAGATAAATCATATTGGCTTGAATACGCCCCATGACAAAAGTAAGCGGCATTTACTGATTTCTCAGCCGACCACTTTCGCTGAACTATGCAGAAACCTCAAACTAGGCGATACAGTGAGGCATAGTTTTGGAATAATTAAATTAATGAATAAACCTTATTTGAATATCCTAATTCTTAGCAAATCATATTCTTCATTCAAGTAAAGATTATAAATTCAATGGTTAGAATTTATTTGGAGGTCAAATATCAAAGTCAGGAAAATTCACCCAAGGCAAGCCACACTGTAGTTCAATAGAGGCCAGTTTATTGTTATTGCCCTTCGTAGTTGACAGTCGTAGTTGCTGGTGCCTTTATCGCCTTTGGTGGTGGCAAGATGTTAAGATTCTCGGCCACGACCAGAAGACATTTTCTGTCGAGTTGACATAAAACTTGTCCTTATGGTCAACCATATTTATGTTGTTGGCCAAGTTTGCCGCAAACGAGAGTTTTGTGGTCGCTTTTCTGGTTCGATAAGAACTAATTATGAAAGTTCCTCTTTGCGATAGCCTGCACAATTTGTTCGTACAAAATCAATTTGCGAGGTCAAAGCCGTTGGGGGAATTTATGCGTTTAATAGAAATGACCACCGGAAAGATAGGAGGAATGTGAGGAACTACATTAAAATTTCAAATGAAATTGGCTAGAAAAAAACAACATTGAATATAATGTCTGCTCTGGAATTCCGCTAAAAGCTGACTCACTCTCAAGTGAATAACAATGGCAATCAGCAAACCCACTTGGCAAAATCCCCAGACATTCCTTAAGTTTGCTTCTATGGAAAATGTCAAACACTCACAACATTAGCATGCAAATGGTATAAAGTTTAGGCAAGTGATAAATAAATTGTATTGGCAAAAAATATGAAATCATAACAAATTATAAAAAAAATATTCATAATTAAGCATGTTATTTAACTATTCTATTTCATTCATAAACTTTTAGGAACACCAAAAATATTTATTATGCTTTATTTTTAAATTTTTTCAAATTGATTATCAAATTTTTCTAAGCGCACCGGAAATAGATCAGGGGATTAATTTTGCTCTTGGCATAAAATTATTAAACTGGAACTAAAACTGGAACTGTGCTTAGTAAAACCGCTTATACATATAAATAAGTTTCATAACTGAGGCGTTTGCTCCCATAATCTAACCTATAAATTTTGGCAATGTTGCTCTCTGACCAACAAAAAAATATTTTAATAAATTATGGCACAGTCAAACAAAAATGTATATTAAAAGCTAAGAATTTTGCCTAACGGAATTTCAAAAAGGAACATAAGACTGAAAGTTGCAATTGAGCAATAAATCCACCATACTTTATCACAACACACATTTTTACTGAAAATAGATTGCTTAGACTTCAGGGGAAATGGGATCTAAACAGAAAAACAAACCGATATCAGTTTACTGAACCAATTGCTGCAAAAGGGGAAACGTTAGAATGTTTGGGTTTAAAAAGATCACTTTGGTTTACTTAAAACATTCCTCAACATCAAGCCATCGTGTTTCCACCCAATTACTGCGATCATTCAACCGGCAATCAGAGACTCTTTCAGGCCAAGACAATGGGCATGTCTCAAAGAGCCCCATTGGTTCTGATCGAATTAGTTTAATATCAATAGCCAAATACGAGAGCGTATCGGTGCAGAGCGTTGAATAACCGCGAATTATGAGAGGCCATCGAGTTGTAACCAACTAATTGCCATGCCAGAAAGCCGGTTTGCCACTCCGGGCCAAACTGAAGCTGAAAGGCGGCGGAAAGCATCGAAAAGCAAAATCAATATCAGAGGTGAGCACAGGTGAGTGCGTTGAAAGTGAAATTGAACTGGAGAGGGGAAGTGGAAGAGCCATTTAAGAGATGTTTCTGGGCCAAGTGCACCTGTACTTCAGGTCCATCAAAAAGGCCGAACCTGAGTTGGCAGTTGGCTGCGCAACTGAGCCACCAGAAGCCCCGAATCGAAACCCAAGCCGGGAACAGTTTTCAAGCGCCTTAAAAGCCCGAGCCGGAGCTGCAAACGGTTTAGTTCCTCGACGCAAACAAAACTAGTCACAACATCGTGGAGCGGAAGCCAGCAGCCTCGAGTGAACCAGTTAAAAGCCAGAAATAAAGTCTGAGGTAGAAACACTCGTCAAAATACGATCACTAAGGCAAGATTTAACTTGCATTTAAAGTTTCAATAAAGCTAAAAATAAACGTATAAACACAAAGAGCTGATGAACATTTTTTTAGGGAGTGCGAAGTTTTAGAAATAAAAGAAGTTAATCCTTTTAATAACCAAAACCTTACTAAGTTAAACCAATATAAGCAGTTCATAATCTAAAGCTCTGAAATCGTTGAAATCAATTCATTTTAAAAGTATCAATTTTTGAGATACCTTCCTATATCGTAAAATATCGTAAAAGCATAAAACCTTTTTTTCTCTGCAGAAGTAAAGAGAGAGAGAGCGCGAGTTACCCAGAAAGCTTTTGGAGACAGGAGCAAGTTTTTCAGACCCAAAGTGAACGTAGCTTTCGGTGCGTTGAAGCCACACTCGTTCGATATTGATTCATTGCCAGCGAGCCACCGAGCCGCCTCGCATTCCGCAAATACCAAAAATAAGTCAGCCGAAAATGTTGCGAACCTTTGCCATTCTGCTGCTGATCGCAGTGGCCGTAAATGCGAGAGCCGCACCGCAGAGAACCACCGTTTCGCCGGACTATGAAACCACCGAGGAGGTCCAGGTACCCGAGGAGTCCACCTACATGTCCGTGGAGGAGGGCACCATCACGGTGGACGTCGACTCGGACGTGATACTGACCACCAGTCCCGAGGGCGAGACCTTCACCGAGGCCAGTCCGATGGTTATGACGGAAGAACCGCTTCCGGACTCGGTGGTGCAGCAGCTGGAGATGGAGCGGGCTCAGGAGGAGCGGCTGAAGAATCCCGAGAAGCTGGAATCGGAGTTGGACTCGGATTCGGAGAACGAGGATCTGAACGCCGCAACCAGGGAGCTATCAAATACCAATAATACAGGTAGCACCAGGAGACCCAGTTTCCGGTTTGGAGCAACCACACTGCCACCCAGTTTCATCACAACCACCGAAAGTCCACGAACCATCACCACTATTTCACCACAAGACGGCACAACGAATTCTCCCTCAGAGACTGAGGAAACCACCGAGTTCCAGGAGGTGAAGACCATGAAGAACTACTTTGAGCGGAAGCCAGCGCAAATGGGTGAAATCGATCTGGACATGGCCGAGAACCGAATGGAGACCACTACGAATGCAGCACCACAGGACGCCGTGGAACTGTCCATGATTATGACCACCGAAGCCGCTTTGGTGGAGGAGAAGCCCACATCTAAAAGTGAGAATGACCAGGCGGAATCGGTGGAAACCACAGTGGTGCCGGTCTACCAATTTATTAGCAATGGAGCTCCCTTTGTAACGGAACCTCAGCCTGAACTTTCGACGGTTTTGCCAGAAGCAAAAGAAGAAGTAGCCACCACAGAGCGGACGGAAGAACCCAAAGGTGCGACTGTTTACTGATTTATTTGATCACTTTACCAAAGATTAATCTTTTTTCCACAGAACTTCTACTGGTTTCTTCCACCCCAGCAACCGAAACCACCACAGAGGCTGAGGAGACCACAACTCCAGCTCCTAGCACCACCACCACAACCACTGAGGCTGTTCTGCTGACCACTACAGTGGAACCTCTGCTAAGTGTACAGCCAGAGACGACCACCAGTGCTCCAGAGACCTCAACTACCAGTGCTCCAGAGACCTCAACTACCACTGCTCCAGAGAGCACAACCACCAGTGCTCCAACTACAACGAGTACCACCAGCACCACCAGTGCTCCAGCCACAACAACAAGCACAACCACTACCACTACCACTACAGAACGACCTATTCAGACGCGAGCTCCGCGGGTGGAGCGGATCTTCAACTCGGACGGAGTGGAGGTGCTTTACGGTTACTCCTCGGTGGTGCGGACCAACCGCTCGTGAGTGGTGCTGCTGGTGGCCTGCCCCACCGAGAATGCGACCTTGTCAAGGTCGAACAACTTGCCATAATGCGGAGACGGGGAGAGGGAGACATTGAGCGATTGATGCTCGGTTTGTTTTAGGCAATTTTCAATTCTAAACGAGTTATAAACAAAAATATTTAAATATCATTCGACGGGCCCCAACACAGTGTGATAAACCAAAAAAAAATCGCTGCGTAAGAAGATATCGATACAAATCCGCACAGACATCAAACAAAACAAATATAACGTTGTGCAAAATTGTGTACGGTCTGCCAAATGACAAAATGAAGAGAAATGCTGAAGATAAACGATTTTATAAATTATAAATAAAACATGAACACCAATCTTTGTTTGCTTTGGCGATTGCACAAAGCGTTAGTAGGTCTTTTAAACATTGTTGATCCGAAAATCGCTCTTCAAAAGTGACATAATATTGCATAAGCGAAATATAAACGGGAAAGGTGACCGAAGAAATGCCCTTATACGGTGCGATGAGATTAATTCTCGGGAAAGAAACAAAAATATAAATCGGTTTGGAAGAGTACATTTAGAAACTCTTGTCCTAGAGAAAACCCACCCCAATTATTTCAAAAACAACTCATTAAGAGCATTTCAAATAGAGTATTTCCCAGACTTCTTTAAAATCCAATCTTTACAAATATGATTCATTTTTTGAATCGTTAAAGCAGCACACCCAAGAAATCAAGAAAACCACAAGCACAGACATTCAGCAGCCCACAGGCTGATCGCTGCCCACCTGCAAAAAAAAAACTTAAAACCGGCAATCGCCTCAAGAGTTGTCGTCATACATTTTTGGGCTTTTATGTTCCGGCATGGACGCAGACAGTCCGACGGACAGACACGTGGACCAGCCAGGCTGACTCGTTTGGTCTGGTCAGGTCCAAGTCCGGAGGCTTGGATTATTCATTCACCGATCGGCATCCCATCGGCAATACGAAGGTTCAATATTAGGGGGCACAGGGCTTTTTCGGGGTTTTGCAATGAGTATCACGTTCGCTGCGCCTTACTATCGATGGAATTTGAAAGCATTCGGCTATTAAACAAACACCAGCCGCTAATTTCCATTTGAACTTGAGCGGCAGGCGCTAAACTGCATGTTGAATGTGAATCGAATGAATGCGGATTGAAGGTTTTGGCGATACGGGTTTTTTTGGCTGCTCGGCTTGGCTTTATTTACTTAACCAGCTGACAAACTGAACTCTAGGCCATGGGATGTACATTACCAACCAGTTAGTCATTTCTCAAAAAAGATGCGGGAAACTCCAGGAAAAATATAAGATATTGAAGATACCAAATAAACTAGTTTACTTGTAGTAATCAAAGCAAACTGCTACAAAGGTTTTCCGTTGACAGGTATTTAGTAATCCTTCTCCATAATTAAAATGGGGTAAGGACAATATTGTGCACGATATACTGAAGTGAATTGTCCTAAGAAACTATAAACCAAACTATTATTTTTCGTTCGGGTTTTAGAAAGCAATTTTTTTTTTAATATTTCACACATTGAGCAAAAACATTAAAAAGCTTTTTTCGACGAAAAATTAAAAGTAGATTAAGTTAGAGCCGAAAACTATGCCTTGGTTTTATTCGCAAAAGAGTAAGAAACCTAAAATTTCGATTGACTTAACCATTTTAAAATATTTATTTCGTTTATTCATTATGGAAATGAAGATGTTCTACTAAATCCAAAAATAAGCAGGGACATCCCCCATCGGTTCCTCACAAAATTAAACCGGCCTCTGTCTGAAATATACGTATTTTATTTGTTTTACCAATTTGCATAGAAAATGAAATTATTGAAGCTAAGCTAAGCCACCTGTCCAAACAGGTTTCGAATGCATTTCATTTGAAATATGTGAAATTGAAGAAAGTACTAAATAAGTGTACTGAGAACAATTAAAAATACAATTTGCATTTGACAGTACTGATTCCCGTTAATAACACAGGGAACTGGTTCAGATGCCGGTCCAGATGTGACTATAAAAGAGTCCCAAATTCGCTCAGATGGCACAACAAACACCCACGATGAAGTTATTTGCATTCCTCGCATTCCTGATCCTTGCCCTGGTGGCAGTCCAGGCCGATCCCCACGGAGGCAGACATGGAGGATATGGTGGCTACGGAGGACCCGGTGGTGGCTACGGAGGACCCGGTGGTGGCTACGGAGGCTACGGAGGATATGGAGGAGTCCCTGGTGGTTATGGAGGTGGAGGTGGCATTGCCAATGCCCGAGCCGATGCATCTGCCTCCGCTTCCTCTAGTGGGAACGGAGGAGGCTTTTATCCCTATTAAAGTTGACCGCGATCAGGTCGATAATGGCTTTCAAATAAAAAATACAATACCCTTAATATTGGTTTTTGTCTTTCCCATCTGTTTAAAAAGTATAATCAAAAATATTGCCTTAAATCTGGTGCGTTAAGCACTTGAATTGTTTTGGACATAATTTTTTTAATTTTAGTTTAAAATGTTTTTGGAAGGACTTTAAATTTTGATCACCTAACCTAACAAACGAGATAGTCCTTAAACATTTTTAAGACAATTACAAATTGAAAGTCAAGTGTTCTTCGATTTCAATTTGCGAAAACAATTATAAAAACAAAAAAGAAAGTTAACTTCGGCAAGCCGAAGTTTATATACCCTTGCAATAAATACTTAACTTATTTACTTAAAATACTTAGCGTTGAATTTACATTCTTTGAGAGCTTCAAGCATTCTATCTCTTGTGGCCGAGATACTAGAGCTCCTCGATCGATGTCGTTCCAAGTATATCATATATATTTTTGCCTTATTTAAGATTTTGTTTTTGAATTGCCAAAAATCAACTTGACTTACTTTATAAAGAACAAAGTTTTCATGTTTTTAGCTTGTTTTTTTCGATTTGTCCTATTAGAGCTATAAGATATAGTAGTATGATCCGGCTCGATCCAACAATTGGACTACCTGCAATAGAAAGAAGAATTTTGGAAAATTTTACAGACGGACATATCTAGATGGACTAGGTTATTGGCGCTGATCAAGAATATATATATACTGGTTGGAAACGACTCCTTCACAGCGGTGCAAATTACTGACTGAAATTAAAATACCCTCTGCAAGAGTTTAAAAATGTGAGATCCCTTGAAACTTATGTGAAATGTGAAAACAATAAAGGGAAAACGCGATTTTCAAAAAAATATTGCTAGGAATACTAGCCCTCATAATCTGCTAAAATTAGCAGGATGACGACATGTTATAGGTGGTTATTTTGCATTTGTTCTATTAAAATGTTAAGTGTTTTGTTTCATACAGAGTAAGATTAGCTGTGCTAAATCGGTAATAATAATAATTACTAAATCCGCCTAGAAATATGCTATACTTACTGAAATATATGAGATTTTCAAGCTAACCTGTTTTCAATTATGGATGCCATAGTATATTCGCGTTAAATAATATAAAACGTCATGCGTTTTTAATATATGTCTAATTAATGTGCTAAACGGAACCCCCCATATAATAGCAATAATCTTGTTGTCGTGTTTTTTGTGATTTTTCATTAAACAAGTCCATCCACCTGTTGCGGATGCTGGTATAAAAGCGAGCGGCACACGCTCATAATGCATCGCAAACTCTGACGATGAAGTTCCTGGCAATCTGCATTTTTCTGATCTTCGCCCTGGTGGCCGTCCAGGCCTATCCTGGTGGAGGTGGCGGTGGGGCCAGTGCCGTGGCAAATGCCAACGCCCAGGCCACCAGCTATGGAGGTCCAGCTTCCGCCTCTGCCGAAGCAAATGCTGTCGCTAACGCCTCCGGCGGAGGAGGAGGCGGCGGCCGTGGAGGTCATGGAGGCCATGGACGAGGATAATTCCAAAGTGAAATCACAAGTGGACTGTCCAACAGAGATCACGCCCACAGACGGGCCTTCTTTCTTTGAGATATACCGATACCGATTTAGATATTAAAATGCAAAGATTTGTTTTCGGAAATTTGAATTGTTGTTTTTTTATACAGGGGTAAGAACAAGTTTATCATCACCAGTTAAGCATAATTTAAAAAATCGATGATGATAAGTTGATATCGGGTAAATTGACTTACACAGAGAAAAAAAATACCAAAATCGGGTATTTGTAAATTGATTGTAAGGAAGTAGGCGTTTTGATTTTTGACAACTTAAAAACAAAATTTTAAATAGGCACGCAGATTCTGCAATCCCTGGAACTGCACCGATAAGTGTGAGCACTAAACTATAGGTGTTTACTTTATTTGGAAGGGTATATAAGCTTCGGCTGACCGAAGCTGATTTCTTTCTTGCTTCATATCAATTTTGGTCCCATATGTGGCCATATCAAAATTATATTTTCGATCATACAAAATTGATATTTTCGAACACATTATATATATTAACACATATTTTATATTATATTTTTCATAATAGATTGTTACGCGCACATATGAAATTTCGCTACAAAATGATGGGAAATGTTGTACCAGAATGTTATTTTTTCAAATCAAACTGATTTTCTTTCTTATGAGATGGATATGGTTATACCCGTTACTCGTAGAGTTAAAGGGTATATTAGATTCGTGCAAAAGTATGTAACAGCTAGAAGGAAGCGTTTCCGACCCTATAAACTATATATATTCTTGATCAGGATCACTAGCCGAGTCGATCTAGCCATGTCCGTCTGTCTGTCCGTCTGTCCGTCTGTCTGTCAGTATGAACGCTGAGATCTCGGAAACTATAAAAGCTAGAGGATTGACATTTTGCATGCAGATTCTAGTAGTTCCTACGCAGCGCAAGTTTGTTTCAAAAGGGTGCCACGCCCCCTCTAACGCGCACAATCGCTTATATACGATTTTAAAAATTTCAATATTTCGAAAAAGTAAAAATGCAATTTTTTAAATCGGACCATTCGTTAAAAAGTTACGGCGGATCAAAGTTTTTATCTCCATCTTCTTCGCACTCCCTTTAGCTGAGTAACGGGTATCTGATAGTCGGGGCACCCGACTATAGCGTTCTCTCTTGTTTTTATATAAATTTATTTGAATTTTTGATTATTGTAATTAATTGGAGTCCAAAACCTTTGGAAATTCATATAAATTTATAAATTTTACAAATATGTACAGTGCATTAACAATGTGGCATTATGACCAGCCATTTGACAGGGGGTCCCGGCTCAGACAAGTCGATGGGGTCTTTACAGAACCCTAAAGATCGCATTCTAGTTTCTAAAAAGTAAATAAATGTCAGTCAAAGAAACATCATAAATGCAATTTAATTATAAGTAAACTGCACAAAATGTTTTACTTTATAATTTTACGTTTTCGTAGAATGTCAGTGCTACCACCGCGAATCAGACAAGAAATATCATAAGTAATCACAAATTAGGAATTTTCAGCCATACTATTTTTTCGAAGATATTTCGATGTCCCATTTGATATGAAAAACATATCAATCTTTCAAGTATTCATATTAATATTTTCGTATTTAGATCAACATTTGCAATTGTTATGATTTTTTATCATAAAGTGATATGTACAAATTGAGTAGACAATATCAATCGGGTATTGTTACGTTTTTTTCTCTGTGTAGGGTTCCTAAAACAGTGGCAACATTTTCAAAAGATCCACTGACGTCAATAAATTTATCTCATCCATCCTAAAAACTGGCTACGTTTTAAAGGGTACACACAAACAAATTTTATAGGTAAAATTGACATATACGGGCAGATACGTAACAAGAAAGGAGGTCGGAAGCTAACTTCGGCAAGCCGAAGTTTTAATACCCTTGCAGATTTTACGAATGAAAACTTGACTAGAATAGCAACTTGAATTAATAAACAACAAAATAAAAACGAGGACGGAAGCTAAGTTCGGCAAGCCGAAGTTTTAATACCCTTGCAGATTTTACGAATGAAAACTTGACTAGAATAGCAACATGAATTAATAAACAACAAAATATTTTACAATTTAAAAAAATAAAATTGTTCACCATATTGTTCCTATGTATATATATTCTTGATCAGGATCACTAGCCGACTCGATCTAGCCATGTCTGCCTGTCCGTCTGTCTGTATAAACGCTGAGATCTCGGAAACTAAAAAAGCTAGAAGGTTGGGATTTCCCACACGTATTCTTGGGCTTCCTACGCAGCGCAAGTTTGTTTCGTCGCCATTAATGATTTTAAAATGTGTCTGTCGGCCACATCTTTTAAGATTTTAAAAATATATAAATGCAATTTTTATACCTATCAAACATTTTTCAAATCGTTCTCTCTTTGTTTATATCAATTTTGCGTTCATATCAAAATGATATTTCCGAACATATGATTTTGTACCACATGGATATGAAACAATATCAGTTCAATTTTGTTCAGTTTTTTTCTCTGTGTAGTAATTTGAACCGTTCATCAATTTTGGTAAAATTAAAAATTATCACATAAATTAATAACACCCAAAAAATACGCAGCTGATAATTATGAACCAAGTGGTAAAAAATTAAAAGTAACTGGTTATTAAACGTTTCTTCCTAGACTAAAAGGTTTACAAAGGGTAGCATTCTAACATATCCTAAACAATAAAGTTTTCTTCGCCAAAAACTTTCGAGTACCTAATAGGTACTACCTTAGATTTTATTTTTCGTTGCGAACAGGAATAGCCGAAAAGTTCTATGAACAAAACTGTATACTTTATCCAGGTAAAGACGGTATGTTCTGTGATACACTTCGGAATTTCTGTAAATCTTAAATATTTAATTAAAAACTTTGAAAATGTTAACTTTAAACCCAACATTTTAACTATCTTGTAGTAATTTGCACCTTAGCACCATTGATTGAAATAAAAAAGAACTATTGAATCTTGAGATTTGTATAAGTTACTTGTTACATACATACCAAGCTTTATACCGATAGACCGCCACTCGATTTATCGTCGAGCCCCTATAAACTTCCTACGTTTTTGCGGTAATCAAAATAGCGACTTCAAATCCTCACATCTGGCAAAATTTCAACGGTAGCTACACCTAACAGATAACCAGTTTTTTCTTTAATTGATGGCTTTGATTCGCCTAAATTATCTGAATATTATTTGCATAATTAATTTTTCACTAATCAAAGCACAAGCGTCTGCTTTAACATAACAATGAATGTTTTACACCTTTTGTTCTTTTGCCCTAGAAAGTGGAACGGGCAAAACCATTTAAAAAATATAATTTGTACATAAAAATATTTAAATCATATTCTTTACATATTTAAATTGCTTATATATAAGCACTATAGAGCATAAACTACAAAATCAACAATTTCTGCTACACTTGTCGTACTGAAAGTGCATTAGTACAGTAACCCAATAAAATGCAGATTTGTTCCACATTAATTTAAAACTTAGGTGCATGTATAAGTGGTAAGTTTGAAAAATATAATTTGTTAATTAAAATGTTTAAATTTCTTATAATGCATAATAAATAAACAAAATATTATATTTGCTGTACTTGCATTATTTAAATTGCTTCAGTACAGTATCACAATAAAATACAGATTTGCTACACATTAACGTGGTAAGCTGAATCAATGCTATTAACTTTTTTTATTGCTTATCACACTCATAGAAATTTTCCGGTAAAATCGCCCTAAAAACAAGGAAAATCGCCCTAAAACGGGGGTCAATGGCGACTAGGCAACAAAATTAGGGCAAATTGCCCTAAAAATACGGGTGAATTTGTCATACATTTAGGACGATTTTTCGTAGATCTAGGGCGATTTTTCTATTTTCACAGGTAATTGCCATAAAAATAAGAAATGAGACCCTTAAACTAAAGGCAGTTTCCTTTAAATCCATGGCGATTTTTCTGGACTTATAGGCGAATAGCCCTGGAAATCGGAAAAAATACCTTTAAACTAAAGGCAGTTTTTTATAAATCTAGGGTGTTTTTCTGGATTTTAGGGCGAATTGCCCTAGAAATAAGGAAAAATATCCTAAAACTAAAGGCAGATTTTCATAAATCTAGGGCGTTTTCTCTGGATTTATAGGCGAATTGCCCTAAAACATGCAAATGCTCCCCAAAATTTTACGGCCATTTTTCATAAATAAAAATACGATTTCATTATATTTTTTTTTTTTTTTTTTTTTTATTTTTGTTTGTTGTTATTTACACAATTTCTAATTATATACATTTACATACTTTTCTAATTATTCTTATTGCTAAAAGAATTACATCGATCTTATTACTATAAGTACTGATTATCAAATTTTACTTCTAATTGAATGCATAGAAATAATATTTTTTTTTGGAATGAACAGATTGTTTCTTTAAAATAGTTACAGTTTTAAGGTTTTATAATCCTTCAAGAGTTCGGATAAAGCTTTACCTTTCTTATCAGACTCTAAATGAATTTCATAAAACATTTTTTGGATAAATGTCGTGGTTTAAAACAAAAAATATTTTGAAGCACACATCAATACTTTTCAATAAGGTTCGCATTCTATAAAAAAACCTCTGATAGGTAAACTGGAAATTCACCAAGGTCAAAAAGGGCTTGTTCCCACGTTGCAGCTGAATGGTTGCAGTTTCGGCTTTCCGGATTAGCAATTTTCCGTCAATGCCTTTAGATGTGTTTGCAGTTCCCCAACAGTAGCCTTCCAAACCAAGAAACGGCTTCGAGGGTCCGCAATGGTGTTCTTCGCGTTCTTGCTCCCGCCGTCCTTTTTTGTCATTGCTGTCGCACCAACACTGAATGGATCGCAAGCCAAATTAAAGTTGATTGTATCTCTATTAAATAAAAACAGTCTATTTATTGAATGAGAAAAGAAAAAAAGAAAAAACACATACCTTCAGCGTGGCTTTCCAAAGATTTGAGCAGTTTTATTCCCTTACTTTCGCTTTTGAAAAGTGCGAAAAGTGGTTTGCGGAAGCTGGATCTCAAAGACGTTCTCAATCTAAAACAAAAAAAAAATTGTTAGAAATTAATTTAAAAATGCACTACTAACAGTCAGAATTTTCAGAATTTTAGCCTGCGATTGCGTTTGCTGCTACTTCTGGAAAAAATAAGCAACAAAAGCAAATTTCAGTTACTGACGAAATGACGCAATAGAAATTTGGGGTTATGTTGGCATATGCACTTGTGAATGCGGTTTGTCCGGTGCATAAATACAGATTTCTGGTAAATATATACATATGTACACAAGTGTGTATTCTGTTGCATCATATTTTTACCTCAAGCATTATTTACATATACACATACATATATGTATACTCTTATTAATGTTTTTACTTTGTTCTGCCACACTTCCAAAACTCTACATCTGGACCGCTGCTTCCAGTCAAATCTTTTTAAGTTTCAGCTGCATTTTCCTCTGTTACAGATATGTAAATTCAATTAGTTATTAATATCCAAATTGCACAATTATATATGTATGTACTCACCAGAAAACTGAGAAAGAATCGCCTCCCAAGTCCTTTAATAGCGTTTACATTTTTCACTTTTTCACAAACAAAAGGTTTCATACAAACACGTCTTTTACTGCCAAGCGCCCGAAAAATTATGACAAAGTCTAGACAACGCAACTCTTTCTACCCCCACCCTTGCCACTGCAACGGACGAAAAGTAGCGAAGAAGAAGAAAAAGGGTGGACTTTTCTAAAGTCAAATGCGCTCAGCATCAAAATTCATAGAAAAAGGTCCGCCCTAATATACACACACATTCACTTGTTTTGACCTGCCAACCACACACACATACACACATATTACATGTGTATCCATTAATTGCGTCTTAGAATTTCGTTTGACTCTTCCTTGTTTTTAGGGCAATTTCAGAACATATTTTTGGCTATTTTGTTCTGCGTTTTAGGGCGATTTCGCCCTAAAAAGAAGGAATTACTTTTGGAGTCGACTCATAAAAATTCGCCCTAAAAAACAGGGCAAATTTGGCGTTTCGGAAAAACTAACCCTAAAAAATATTTTCCATGGCGATTTTTCGTATATTTAGGGCTAGCCACCCGTATAATAAGAAAATTTTTCGTAGTTTTAGGGCGACCTCGGTTTTAGGGCGACTTTTCTAGTATTTAGGTAAAAATTTCTATGAGTGCAGTCATTTGCATGGTGCTAACGGAAGAGAATCACAATTTGGAGAAATTAGAACTAATGGATCACGAAATTTATACGTGACTGATATCCAAATGACCGGTTCTAAAATGCCAAGAACAACAGTAAAAACAAGAGAGAACGCTATAGTCGGGTTGGTGTCCCGACTATCTAATACCCGTCACTCAGCTAAAGGAAGTGCGAACGCGGGTTGGTGTCCCGACTAATAATCGTAACTCAGCTAAAGGAAGTGCGAGGGAGATAGATATATGTAGATATTTTGATTGCGTATAACTGTTTTAATGCATGGTCCGATTTGAAAAATGTCTTCTACATTTCGATAGGTATAAATATACACAACAAAATTGCATTTATACTTCTCGGAAATCTTTAAAGATGTGGGCGCAGGACCCATTTTAAAATCGTTAGTGGGCGATTGTGGGCGTTAGAGGGGGCGTGGCGCTCGGCTAAAATAAACTTGCGCTGCGTAGGAAGCCAAAGAATATGTGGGGAAAATCTCAACCTTCTAGCTTTTGTAGTTTCCGAGATCTCAGCGTTCATACAGACGGAAAGACGGACAGACGGACAGACGGACAGACGGACAGACGGACAGACAGACAGACGGACATGGCTAGATCGACTCGGCTGGTGATCCTGACCAAGAATATATATACTTTATAGGGTCGGAAACGCTTCCTTCTCCCTGTTACATACTTTTGCACGATCTAATATACCCTTTTACTCTACGAGTAACGGGTATAAAAATTTCAAAAGCAATATTACAATAAAGCAATAATATATGAAATAAATCTTTAAGGATTGAGAAAGGCAAATAAAACCAAGGCACAGGCTGGTTTTGTTACATATATATCAAAGGAAAATTTTAGAATATTGCTTTGGATTTCAGCGTCTAGACACTAGAGTAAGAAACCTGTTCTCAAAGAGGTAAATATTTTTAATTAGAGTTTTAGCAGAGGCTTTTAAAAATTCTAAATAAACAATATAGAACTTGAGGGAACTAAATATCAGACGGGATCCAGCTTGCAGTATATTAACATAGTAAAGGTATATTTTTTTCACATTATATTTTCTATACTTTTAAAACCCTTTTATTATTGCTTTTGAGGACCTTACTCATTTAATTCAATGAAATACGTTTATTCCGTTTTTTTAATTTTATTTTTTATAAATATTAAAAAACTAATCAGTAGAGAAATTCGGATCGTAACCGCTTATTTGCCGAAGGCGTTAGAAGAAGCACTGGCATTGGCATTGGCGCTGGCACCACCACCGCGGGAGCTGGCGTTGGCGTTAGCATTGGCATTAGCATTGCCACCTCCAAAACCATTGCCTTCAGCGTTGGCGACGGCGTTAGCGTTAGCCTCGGAATTGCCACCGAATCCACCTGGTCCTCCGAATCCACCTGGTCCTCCGAATCCACCTTGTCCTCCGAATCCGCCTTGTCCTCCGAATCCTCCTTGACCACCCGGTCCGCCGAATCCTCCTGGACCACCTGGTCCTCCGAATCCTCCTGGTCCTTTTTGGGCTCCGAATCCACCTGGACCACCAGGTCCTCCGAATCCTCCTGGTCCTTTTTGGAATCCGCCTTGTCCGAATCCTCCTGGACCTCCAAATCCGCCTGGTCGTCCTCCGAAACCGCCTTCTGATTCAGCATTGGCGTTGGCATTAGCGTTAGCATTGCCACCACCGAACTGTGGGGCGGCGGCGGACACTGCCAGGATGACGGCGAGAACGACGAAGACCTTCATGATGATCTGCTTGATCGGAGAGACTGAACAAACTTAATAACCGATGCCGCAGGGCACGGCTTTTATAGTGGCCAGACGGCCAGTAGACGAGAGCAAAAAAAATCTGAGCTTGGCTCGCCACCCGGGAAAAATTAGCATGCAAACAATAGTCACTGCCGAAAAATAATATCGAAGATCGGGGATCTAGGCAGGGCCCTGGGTCAGAGTGAAACAGATAGCGTCCGAAAGAGTCGGATAGAAGCTATGATTAAATGCAATGGTCGGAGGAAAGTTTGCAAATGTCTTTAGACCAACACGAGCCGTGTTCGTGGTGGTTTCCTATTCAAACCGGTTTGCTGCTATCAATATTTAAACGATTATTAATATTTGCGTTTATATTTCATTAAGCCGGTATTTTTCTTTATTTTCGGCACTGTCACCGCGTCGCTTTCAGATGGGAATCGACGCGCGGGCAGTTAATTATTTGCCACAGAATTACCTGGGTACTTAACTATTTCCCATCAGCAACAGAGGAAACGATGTTCCGAGAATTAAAAACAATTCTATCCGCAGTAGTAAACTTTTTATAATAAACATACTAACTATCCACTAAACTTAATAAATATAATCGTGTCGGGACCCTTTACTTTACGACATCGTCAAAAAAAATAATTATTGGCTTTAGTAGTACAATCCTATATTATACTTCTTAATCAAATTCTAAGAAAAAGCTTATCAATTTTTGTTCTGAATATGGTAACTTAATTCCAGTATTATTTTCTTAATTTATCAAAATCAATATTTCATATGTCTTAATCTCAAAAAAGGTAGAACATGTTTTTGATTAAGGCAATATATTCCAATATATATATGGGACGTTCCGTGACAACCTGGCCACCCCACTTTTTTATTTTTTTTGCATGTGGACAGCTTGCTTCCAATAGTTTACCTCTTACCTATTTTGTCAATGTTACCACTCTTTCGCCGTATAATCGCGTTGAAAAGAAAACACAAAATCATTTTTATCCTGCGAACGGAAGAAACAATTAGCATGGTTCAAAAGCAGAAAAATCTGTCTTCCCATGGCCGATTACGAGAAAAAAAATAGATTTTATTGGACCGTAGATGACCAAGCGATAGCGTTTTTAAAGTCTAAAAGTAGGATTTCGTCCAAAGGGCCAGTCTGCAAAAATACCATTATATTTTTCTCAGAAAGCCCCATATTTAACGGATTTTATGCCACTGAGTTCAAAGTGGGATCTCTCTTGAGGAATTAGCTATGAATTCTTTTCATTGATTTGTTAATTTTTTCCAAAGCATATACGATTATTTTATATTACTTATTAGCTTTTTCTGACAGTTAACGACTACAAAAACGTACAAAAGAATTCATAGCTCATTCCTCAAGAGAGATCCCACTTTGAAACCAGTGGCATAAAATCCGTTAAACATGGGGCTTTCTGAGAAAAATATAATGGTATTTTTGCAGACTGGCCCTTTGGACGAAATCCTACTTTTAGACTTTAAAAACGCTATCGCTTGGTCATCTACGGTCCAATAAAATCTATTTTTTTCTCGTAATCGGCCATGGGAAGACAGATTTTTCTGCTTTTGAACCATGCTAATTGCTTCTTCCGTTCGCAGGATAAAAATGATTTTGTGTTTTCTTTTCAACGCGATTATACGGCGAAAGAGTGGTAACATTGACAAAATAGGTATGAGGTAAACTATTGGAAGCAAGTGGCTTTGCAATCAATGTGGTACTATCCACATACAAAAAAAAAAAAAAAGTGGGGTGGCCGGGTTGACATGGAACGTCCCATATATACATTAGACTGGGTCGATTTGTATGGGCAAAAAAAAGTGATAAATCCTAGGGTGAAACGCAATCTAGGAAGAATTCTAAGCAATATTGCAAAATAAACTATATCTTAAAAACCACGTTTGACCCTCCGCATTTGCAAAAGAAAAAACCCCAGTATTTTATGAAAAAAATCACAGTAGCTCTAAATTTTATACACTGGAATAGACCTGAAAAAAGTAAAAAATCGTTTGGGCGGAAAACAATTTCTGGCCATTTCTAAGCCATATTGCCCAAGAAACTATATGCCATAAACCACGTTTGACCCTCCGCATTTGTAAGATAAAAATACTGTTAATTAGTTTACTTTTAGGAAAAATATCATAGTAGCCGTGAAATATTTGTCAATTTTAAATTCTCCCTTTTTGTTAAAAATGTTTTGTTCTCTTTAAAGCATTTTTTCAATACTGTTATTTTGTATATTAGTAACGGTACTATGATATTTTTCTCAAAAATAAAGTGAAATACCAGTATTTCTCTTTTGCAAATGCGGAGAGTCAAACGCGGTTTTAGGCATATAGTTTCTTGGCCAATATGGCTTAGAATGGTCCATTGTTTATGTTCCGCCCAAACGATTCATATCTTTTTTCGCCTCCATACAAATGTTCCAAAGTCCAGGCTACTGAGATATTTTTCATCAAAAAACCAGTATTTTTCTCTTGCAAATGCGGAGGGTCAAACGTGGTTTCCGAGGCATAGTTTCTTTGGCAATGTTGCTATGAATTGTCTATAGAATACGTTCCCCCCTCCCGCCCCCTACGATTTGTTGACCTCCAAATCGATCCACCCTAATATACATATTATATAGCACCATCCAAAATCAAACAAGAGAGAACGCTATAGTCGGGTTTGTGTCCCGACTATCTAATACCCGTCACTCGGCTAAATGGAGTGCGAGGGAGATGGATATATACCATTTTTTTGATTGCGTATAACCTTTTAATGAATGGTCCGATTTGAAAAATGTCTTCTACATATTGATAGGTATAAATATACACAACAAAATTGCATTTATACTTCTCGGAAATCTTGAAAGGTGTGGACGCCAGACACATTTTAAAATCGTTAGTGGGCGATTGTGGGCCTTAGAGAAGAGAAATCTGTGAGAAATCTCAACGTTCTAGCTTTTGTACTTTCCGAGATCTCAGCGTTTATACAGACAGACAGACGGACAGACGGACAGACGGACATGGCTAGATCGACTCGGCTAGTGACCCTGATGAAGAATATATATACTTTATAGGGTCGGAAACGCTTCCTTCTTCCTGTTACAAACTTTTGCACGAACACAATATACCCTTTTACTCTACGAGTAACGGGTATAAAAATATCACATCTGTTTTGTCATATTACAAATATATTCGTATAGAGTCGAACAGCTTGCTTTATTAACACTCCATGCGCTTCCTTGTTCTACTATCAATCGAAAATATTCCATATTACAACCATTTTCTTTATATTCATATTGCTCTTGTTTACCGACCACACAAGCCCCCATAAAATTAACATAACTGTTAACGATAGATATACACATAGGTGTGTTTGTTTTCAAACCAACTTGTATTTGATATTCAAATTAATTGGGCGCCGGACTAGCGAAATAAAAATGTTAATTTAAGCTGCGGACGTGCTATGAATCGAGTTAAATCGATAAAGCCCACCAAAATCGCAAGGGCTGACAAAAGCTTATTGATATTACACTTTGGGATATTTTCTGTTGTTAGCACAATCAATAAATACCCATTAACTATTCCAAACTCAAATGTACCTTTACTGAGAATATTAAAGAATGTATACAACATTTATGAACATATTTAAGAGTAATAAATAAAGGTTTCCTCCATAAATTAGGACTACTAATTAATTATACTTACTCTGTGAGCAGAATTAGGCCTTTGCTTATTTACCTCGATGAATGCCTAAATATTTTCGCGAACAAAAGCTCCGATAAACTAGAGATCTAAGAAATGAAGCTCACAGTTTAGAAAAACTATGTTTTGGGCATTTTTGTACAGCAATTACACCCGGACGGATGATGGCTTATTAGTTAACCAAAGCGTTTTACAATTGCGCCTCATAGTCTTCAAGCTCCTAACGCCAAAAAATGTTATGATTATTTTTAACGGAGCTATAACCTTTACCTTCAAAGGATAGGCGTTGTAATAGTTCATCCAATTTATATATAACTAAAATCATTTAATTGGCCGAATTTTTGAAAACAACAAAAATACCTAGATTTTGACATTGTACAGACATTTGGAGTTAAATCAATTCTTATATTAATGGTGATTGTACACAGAGAAAAAAACGGAACAATATTGAACTGATATTGTTTCATAACAATTTTTCCATAACAAAATGGTATGATTTCATATCAATTTGGTACAAAATCATATGTTCGGAAATGGGCCGAAATTGGTATGAAAAAATACCAGATGGATGATTATTTTTGGTATTTTTTTTCTCTGTGTATCAATTTAGTTATCCATTAGCTATTATAAGAACCAAATAAATTTGTTTATTTTAATTTATTAACGTTTTATTCACAGTCATTTCTTATCGCTTAATCCCAAATATGTTTTGGCTTGTCTAACCGCGGAATCCACCGCCTCCGCCCGCTGACGCTGAGGCTGAGGAAGAAGCGCTAGCTGAGCCACCGCCACCTCGACCGCCGCCGCCACCAGCAGCCGAAGCTGAGGAAGAAGCTGAGGCAGAAGACGTTCCACCGACGCCACCGCCGAAACCACCGCCAGGACGACCTCCGAAGCCGCCACCGCCGAATCCTGGGCCACCTCCGAATCCAGGACGACCTCCAAATCCAGGGCCACCTCCAAATCCGCCACCTCCAAATCCTGGGCCACGTCCAAAGCCGCCACCTCCAAATCCTGGGCCACCTCCAAATCCGCCAGGACGGCCTCCAAATCCGCCACCTCCAAAACCTGGGCCACCTCCAAAACCTGGGCCACCTCCAAATCCGCCAGGACGGCCTCCTCCAAAGCCTTGAGCATTGGCATTGGCATTCGCATTTGCGTTGGCGTTGCCACCACCAAATTGAGGCAGGGCCGATGCCACAGCCACCAGAGCGGATATCGCGATGAATAGTTTCATGTTGAGATTGAGTTGTTGCCTCCTCGAGAGTGGTCCACACACTTGGACATTGCACTGCCGGGCCCGGCTTTTATTCAGTTCCGCGTCGGGAGAAAGATTCGCTGATCTCTCGGTGATCCACCCTGAAGCGTACTCTCTAAAGCAGCTCATAAGCAAAAAAAAACAGAACGAATTAACAATATTTATAGCTCTACTCATTAGCAGGTTCGGGGCGTACGATCGCAGACCCTACGCTCAATAGACCCGGCTGTTCGATCCCCCACTGCAACCGGTTAATCCCAAGCTCGAGAGCACCGCAGACGTGCCCCCTTCTCTAGCCGTCCATTATAAAGACAGCATAACGATGGATTCGGGCCAGTGATGTCATAGATCAAGTAGACTTAAGCATGGGTACTTTGGACAGGTAAGCCAAAGACTCATTATCCCTAGGGGTTACTTAGAGGAGCCAAACAGGTAACAAGCTAGTAAATGAATATTTCTTTCTAATCTTTTGGGAATAGCTCAAAACATGATTTACTTCTTACGTACTTAATTTGTTAGAAAAATATCTATAAACGTCTAGAGTAGTAACGATGTTGATATTGAATCATTTTTTCGCTTGAAAAGGACTTTTTCTTTAATTCTTTTAAATATTTTTAATTCATTAATAAATAACCCAAGTAATACATCCAGACTTAATTTAAAACGGTTTCCCTTGAGGAACTAGTTCACTTTAAGCATCTCTGTGGGCTAATTATTAGATTTCTCTATATCAAAGCAAATGACTGATTTTACTGTCCGCAATAATTTATACAACTTTTTTTTGCTTGAACCCATCTGTCCAGGCTTAATACTTTTTTCGCGACACACAGCTTTTTATTTGTTTGTTTATTTAAGCTTCCATAAAAGCCAAATATATTTGATAATGTTAAAAAACTCGTATTTGGTCAAATTCAAAATGTTAATTATTCTAATTAATACCAGAGGCATGATAAAAGAACAACAAAACCCCCAAAAAAATCAGAAATTCAAATGAATTGATTTTATTAATTTTGTTTGTTCAGCTTTGAAAGCAATGAAAACAGCTATGATCTTAAGAGTGGCATCATATAAGGGGAGTCCCAATTGAAAGTGTGCCAAGTAATGTTGTGGAAATTACTTGGACACATAAATATGCAATAGGGCATTAAAAAGTCTCACATCCCATAGCCCGCATCACCCAAGCCATATCACCGCATCACCCAAGTCCATATATCTAAACTCTGAAAAATATGCATATGTGAAGCCATTTTAATTATTTCTGCCGACTTATATGCATAAATTAACGGCAATTTTATGCTGATTAGTACACATCGGAAGCGAATGAAAACAGTATTCAACAGTTGTAGCTAATTTTTGAGGTAGGTACCTGAGTAATGATCGAAAACATTAATGCGCGTTAATACTGTTTCAAATTCAGAGTTTTTAAATAAACCAAGTAAAAGTGGGAAAATATTTTTGAATTTATTAGGGTAGCAAGCAGTGGCATACCTAGGATTTGATTTAAAGGTATTTTCGGAGCAATTCTATAGTTGCATTCTTTTTGAAAATTACATTTCTAGAGATTCCCGCCGCCGCCACGTCTGTTTCCACCAAATCCACAGTAGTCGTTTGGATTTTTGACATTGTAAAAACTTCATTATACCCTTGCAGAGGGTATTATGATTTCAGTCGGAAGTTTGCAACGCAGTGAAGGAAACGTTTCCGACCCCATAAAGCATGACAAAAAAGCTTTTTGCAGTAGTCTACGGAACCGCGTTCCTTTTTGTTTTTTTAGGAGAACGATTTTATTTTACATTTGAAATGTATTTTAGCAAGCATTTCATACTAAAATGTGAAACACCTTTTATTTGGATTTTTTAATTTTTATATTTCAGACTTTCTTCACACATTTATATTAACTTAAGCTATAGATTATCTACTATCATCTCATTTGCCGTAGAAGCCACCGCCGCTGGCCGACGCCGATGAGGAGGCGGAAGAGGAGGCAGCTCCGCCACCACCTGCTGCAGAGGCCGACGAAGAGGCCGATGCTGAGGCAGCACCACCGCCACCACCACGTCCACCACCGCCATGACGATGTCTACCTCCGAATCCTCCGCCATAGGGATTACCGCCGAATCCACCGCCATATGGACCTCCTCCAAATCCACCGCCATAGGGATTTCCGCCGAAACCACCGCCGTAGGGATTTCCTCCAAATCCACCACCATATGGACCTCCTCCAAATCCACCGCCAAAGCCGGGTCCTCCAAATCCGGGCCCTCCAAATCCTGGTCCTCCAAATCTGGGTCCTCCAAATCCGAATTGCGGTAGGGCCGAAACGGCGGCCACCAGCAGAGCAAGAACAATCAGGGTCTTCATTTCGCAATTTCTCCTTTCAGTCTGATGGGTGATCTATGTGCGATCGCTGGGTTGCCTGGGTTGGAACTGACGGACTCTCAGCGGAGTCGCTAATGTATTTATACCGCCTGTATTGTTCAAAAAAGACGTCACATACCTGCGAGTCAAATTTGAGGTGATATGGCTTTGATAAATTGTTTCGTTGGTCACCTACCGGTTTCCTTTGTATTTCATTCCATTTACTCTCAGATCTAATTACACTGGGCAACATAAATATAATATTTGGAATAAAATATACTCCATATACTCCATATATATAATCGAATCTAGCTAATAGAGTTTAATTGCATTTATTTAAATATATTTGCAAGATAAGATTAAAGTAAATAAATAAAATAAATATATTACATTTATTTATTACCCGGGCGTTAAGTTGTATTTTAAATATATTTCGAAAAGAAGAGAAAAACAATAAAAACGATGAATAAAAGAAGATAGAACGCTATAGTCGACTTGGTGTCCCGACTATTTAATACCCGTCACTCGGTTAAAGGGAGTGCGAGGGCGATGGATGTATACAATTTTTTTGATTGCGTTTAACTTTTTAATGAATGGTCCGATTTGAAAAATGTCTTCTACATTTCGATAGGTATAAATATACACAAAAAAATTGCATGTATACTTCTCGGAAATCTTAAAAGGTGTGGGCGCCAGACACATTTTAAAATTCGTAGTGTGCGATTGTGGGCGTTAGAGGGGGCGTGGCGCTTGGCTGAAATAAACTGGCGCTGCGTAGGAAGCCCAAGATCAAGCCCTGATCAAGAATATATAATCAAATAAAAACACCTCTTAACGAGGTAAAAAACTAGTGACGATCGCACCTTCAACATACAAAAGTTCTGATATCAACATTTGTGACGAAAAACTATTACACTCGTCATTAAATAGACTTTCTAATATTTTTTCATTCGGCCCGCCCTAGCAAACTATTCCAGTCTTTTTCCCTTCACAGGCATTTTCTATTGCAGCGTGCCGAATGAGAAAATATTAGAAAGTCTATTTAATGACGAGTGTAATAATTTTTCGTCACAAATGTTGATATCAGAACTTTTGTATGTTGAAGGTGCGATCGTCACTAGTTTTTTACCTCGTTAAGAGGTGTTTTTATTTGATATCAGAAGTTTTTGTTTGTTTACATTTGCTCTCATAGGAGCTAATATATACATACATTTAAATTTAAATTGGTCAATCATAATTTGTAAGCCATTGTATTTAAACAAATTAAGTTAAAAAGGCGTTTAAGTATTTCAAAATACCTTTTAAACGATGTATAGCACATGTCGGTACCTTTAGTAGTGTAGAACTTACAAACTAACGAAATTTAGCTATTTTTAGCTTTTTCCCGCTAAAGTAGCGGCTTTTTCCAAAAGTCGTATAACAAAAGATTCCTATATGGAACTCTTAAGTGCAAATTTACTGATTCCATGACCCTAAAATACAGTTCGGATACTCTCCCACAAAATTCAATACTCAGGGAGCGTTAATTGTTCGAGCTGGCAAAAGTGGCTATTTTCGAATAAAAATAACTTTTAAACGTGACTTTTTACAGTAATGTGTTATATACCAAAATTTAAGGAATCTCAAGGGCTATACAGTTTAAGGTTTTAAAGAAAATCGTTAGAGCCGTTTTTAAGAAAAATAAAAAAAAGCTAAAAAAAAAGTTTTAAAAAATTGTCTCTTGTTCATATTTTTTTAACTATTACATTTACACAAATTGCATATAGAAGGCGTTTATAGCATTTAAAAATACCTTTCAAACGAGATGCAGCACAAGCCTGAACCTTTAGTAGTATAGAAGTTACGGCTTTCCGAATTTTAGCTACTTATAGCTGTTTTCCCGCTAAACTAGCGAGTTTTTCCAAAAATGGTAGAACAAAAGTTTTTTATATCGATGTGATGAACGTCATATCAAATTTTCAAAACTTAAAAAACATGTTTTGGACAAACTGACAAACTGACAAACAGAATTAAATTTTCATTTTGGGGAGACGAAGAAAATCCTATTTTGGCTATAACTTTTGAACGGAGCGTCGGATTTTGACAAATGACCCCTCATTCGACGGGTATTTTCAAAACAAATACAACTAAAACATTGCGAGGGGGCATTTATCCCCACCGGCCCCAACAGCTCCAAATTTCGAAATTTTCACTTTTTCACTTTCACCGCTCTCTCTCCCAAGCCAATTAATTTTCTTAAAGGCTTGGTATGCAATCCTTTAAGTTTTTGCAATACCATTCGATAGGTGTATCATTCATTATGATCGGACCATCACAGCAGATTTTCATTTCTTCGTGTATATATAGTAGTCGCCTTCGCACACTCTCCTGGTGCGCTTCGTCACTACATGGACTGCCGTCCATAGTGATTTGTATAGGGCCGGAAACGCTTCCTTCTCCCTGTTACATACTTTTGCAAGAATACAATATACCCTTTTACTCTACGAGTAACGGCTATAAATATAATCTATACCCAATTTTTCCCGAGATTGGCATATCAAATTTAAATAGCGCGACCCGTTTTGAATTCCAAGTTCTTGGTAAACCATCCTTTATTCTCAGTAAACACTTTTTAGTCTACTAAATAATCATAAAATAACAATACTCCTATCCCTAAAACATGAATTTTGCAGCACAGTGTTACCGGTCGAAATGATGACTTTGTTTGACGGGTGATTCCCATACACGCTCCTATGGAAACGCATAATTATCGACCCACGCCCAACAGGTGACCCAAGTGCTGGAGTTTAGAAGAAGACAGCCAACTTGTTTACAAAGTCAATCTATTCTTAACTCTTCCTGATCTGCGTAGTTTCCCGCCGAGATCAAGAGTACTCATCGCCGAACGATTTCGTCTAATGCCGATCAACTGACAAGTTCATCTTGAAGAGTTTATTCCCCTCTATCTTGTTTTGTTCGTCCGAAAGCGGTTTCGATGGCGATGTTTCCAAAACGCTGCTCGATTGGAGTGGGCCAGTTGGAGGTGGTGAGATCACTGACAGATCGCCGGTGGCTATTGGGCTTTTCTCTAGGTTTCGCGGCCATTCTGCACAAGAGATGGCTCAGTCCGCCCCAGATAGTCTTCAGTTCCAATCGTGCAGCACTTCTTTTGTTAGTTTGGTACTGATCTACCCATACCGAGGACTTAAATATCAAATTTGAGACAGTAAACGTTCCTGTTAATCTAGATAGTGCCCCAAATTAAGTTACCAGGCGTTTATATTATTTGTAATCAGTTGTGTTGTAATGATAATATTCTATAAAGAAAGTTTTGTATTAATCATCACTTATAAATTAAATTATATCATAAGCATTTTGAAGTCATTGAGTGAAATCGCGCTTACATTTCAATAAATATAATAAATGAAAACTACGGAAAATACAAAAATTAAATTATACTTAATGCAAATAGTTTGATCAAATCTCTTTTTACTTTTTGCTACAGTGTCGCTCAGCAGCTGAGATTCGTTAAGAATCTATAGAAAATAGATCAGGCATGATGTTACATACGTTTGCAATGAATACAAAATAGAATCGGAGTGAAATCTCCCATTCATGACTACTTTAAGTTTACGATCTCTTAGCAATATGATATGTTTACACCGATCATTAGGGTGAAAAAATCACACGTTTTAATGAGACAGCACACGATAGCAATCGCAAAATCCCCATAAATCGGGGTCTTAGAGATCCGAGTCTTAACAGTCCATAACAATAAAGTCTCCCATGCGCAGCGAACAAGATTTCAGGGACTGTTAATTAGAAAAACAACAAACACAAATATCATTTCTTTTTAGAATATGAATACGAGCCGGCAAAACCAGTTTCAGTGTCGTCACACAGTAAACTTTGAGTCCCTCCGTTCGAGAGAAGATCGGCGAAATTTGCAAAGATTAGCGACTCATATCCAAAGGGGTTTTCCAGGTCGGAATTTGTGAAAATTAAATTAGCGAAGTAGTTAGAATTCGGTGATTTTTGGAGGCCGATTCAGTCAGTGGCAAATCCTTAGAAAAATCTAGATTGTCGTGGACTTTGAACGTTTAATAAATAAAGGCATTAATTCGCCGGCGATTTGAATATTGTTTTCGTTGTCGGCTTATGCAAAAAGTGCGCAACATAATCGCTTAATGGAACCGGTCAGGGGATCCCGGCATCGTTTATTTATTTGTATTTTTATTTTTTGGTGAGGCTTTTGAGCATTTATATAAACCCCTGGGATTTGGGCATTATGTGATTTTTCCCGATCTGACTTCTTTGTGTTGCATGATTAATGGCCTTGAAATGGCGCAGTATCAAAATGAGTTGGTCAAGTTTGAGTTTTGGCAAACAATAGTTCCAGACTCTTTACATAATTGGCTGCCTAAGCTGGCAACTCAAACGAATAACTTCCGAATTTATGTGCATTTCGCTGAACAAATAACCAGGGCACTTTAATAATGAACTGCGAATGCTAATATTTGTATATTAAAATCAATCAAATAGAAATAATTTGTGCCTGGCCAAAATTAATATTATCACATTAGCCAGCGGGCTGGGATGTGGTGGCATTCAGAGCCATGACGATACGAAATATTATTAAAATTCCAACTAATGAACGTCATGTTAATTATGTAAACACAAAACACACAAGCGCACGCAATCAGTGCTCTGTAATATTTTCGCATTTTAGCCGCCGTTTATTGTTATTGGCGTTTTCCATAGTTTTTCCACTCCACTCCACTACACAAATTGAATTTTCCGCGCCCGGGCAGGGCCAACTTTTCAATTATGCGGCCAGCGGGCTAATGAACAAAGCGATCTGACCAGAAAACCATTTGGCGACCGTGTCGACATGGATATGCAATCTGAATTATTTAATTTTAATTAAATGCTGGCAAGGGTTTATTGCCTATTTTCGGGCCATGAAGTAGGGGGAGATCGTTTTCGAAATCGAAACCGAACGCTGCATACTTCGAGGCTCCACCTGAGATGAGCTGGGGCTAACAAAAATATATATTCGCATCGCATCGGAACACATTGATAAACATTCGCATCACATTTATTTTATTGCCAAACATAAATTGCAGCAAACAAAGGGCCCGGCCATATTGTCAATTCTACAAAGGCCAACAACTGTTGCAGCAGCGACTCTGTGGCAAACCGCCAACAGACTGTTGGCCCCACTTCCGCCTTTGCGCTTTCATGTTGCAAAACTGCACCACAGGGGTTCATCGTCCTTGTGCAAATTGGTCTCGGAGTTTATTGCCGGCTCCGGACATCGGACTACCGACTTCCAACTCCAGACTCCGGTCTCCAAGAGCAGATGCTGCTCCTCCGGCAATAAAAGTGCACTTTCAGCCTGAGACCGAAGCCAAAGCTGCGGCAAAAGGCAAAGGAGCTTGCTTAAGATTTCAATTTGTTGCCATTGTGTGCAACAATTTGCAATAGTAAAACTTTACTTAATGATAAATGTTTGTGGGGGACACATAAAATTCAAGAAGAGCGCAGTCTGTCTTGGCCATTTAAGAGATTTATGTGGCCATGAGTGGCATCAATGTCTTCGGTTGGGGCTAATACAACTCCGTGCCACGGTCCCCTCAAATAGGCCATTAATTTTGGCGGAAACTTTGCATGCCAGATTTCCCTACCGCCGAAAGGGGAAAAGTTTTCCTTCGCGGTGTCCTTGGGGTCGACCACTGCTACTGCTGAACGCGTAAATGGTTTCCATCAAGGACATCACGTGACTTTCACACAGAGCTAATTTTACCTTCTCCCCTAAAGTTTAAAAGATCCCTTAGTTGTTTTTATCATGTGATAAAGTAAGTTGTCAATAATTAAAAAAATATACATGTAATTTTTGTTAAACTATTTCAAGTTATACAAAATGTTTTTTTTAAATCAGATTTAAGCAAATTTAAGTTGAGGTTATCTACAAAATTATGCAGCGTTTACCTCGACTATTCGATAGCCGTTACTCAGCTAAATGAATGGGAGAGTGATGGAGATATGCAAGCAGCCATGCAATCAGTGGCTTGTTCTTACTCTAAGACTAACTGGGTATACTTAAGTGTGGAAAAATAATGATGCTAAGTCTGAATTATGTATATAGTTCACTAACCACATTCTTGAGTTAGCCCGAATTTATATGAACTTTTGTAGAATTCTTGATGTTTAGTACAAAAGCTAATCATTTTATTGAAATTGACGTAATACTTTAAGCGACTTGGGGAATTACAGGAATATTTGGGGTTGGGCGACTGCAACTAGCCATGATAGCCACCACCACCGCCGGCACCCGCGGAAGCACTGGCCGAAGCAGAAGCACTTGAGTGGGCACCACCTCCGTATCCACCACCACCGCCGCCAAATCCTCCGCCACCACCAGATCCGCCTTTGTATCCGCCACCGCCTCCATGGCCTCCGTGCTTGTGGCCGTGACCTCCGCTAAGTCCACCTCCAAAGTGTCCGCCTCCGGCTCCGCCACCAATTCCACCTCCGATTCCAGGACCAAAGCCTCCGCCGAATCCTGGTCCTGGACCAAATCCGGGACCTCCTCCAATGAGTCCACCTCCTCCATGACCTCCACCTCCAGAGTGTCCTCCTCCGATTCCACCTCCAGAGTGTCCGCCTCCTCCTCCGATTCCTCCACCCGGTCCGAAGCCTGGACCTCCGCCGCCTCCATAGCCACCTCCTGGCTTTCCAGATCCGTGACCGCCACCAATAACGCCGGCTGAAGATGACGCTGAGCTTCCGCCGAAGCCCCCGCCGGATCCACCTCCTCCACCTAATCCGCCTCCACCGGAATGCCCGCCACCTCCAGAGTGTCCTCCTCCACCAGAACCAAATCCAGGACCGCCACCGATTCCATTTCCTCCTCCGGAATGGCCGCCTCCAATAGAGCCGCCTCCGCCAGGGTGTCCTCCTCCAATGGCACCACCTCCGCCGAAAATATCGCCACCTCCGCCGGAAATAACTCCACCGCCGGAATGACCGCCGCTGCCGCCTCCGAAGGGACCTCCAGCTGATCCGCCTGACAGTCCTCCGCCAGCTGCTCCAGCACTCGACGAGGCATCAGCGCCGCCGCCTCCGAATCCGCCACCTAGGCCGCCACCACCGAAATCTCCACCAGAACCGAAGCCGCCAGATCCGTGTCCTCCGGAACCCAGACCGCCGGATCCGTGACCGCCGGATCCGTATCCTCCGCCGAGCTTACCGCCTCCATCACCGCCGCCAATCGCACCGGCTGAAGCGGAGGAGGAAGCTGAGGATCCGGCGTATCCACCTCCACCTCCACCTCCTCCGCCTCCGTAACCTCCGGCGGAGGCCAAAGCCACACAAACACTCAGCACTACAAACAGACGCATCGGAACCTTTGCCTGCAGCTCACTAACTGTGCTCCCTAGAAAGATGCCGGCTTTTATAAGAGACTCTCCGCCATGCAAAAAGCACAAATAATAGCAAAATACTTGCGAAAATTTCGCAGAGCGCGAAAAAAGAACAGCAACCCAGTCACGTTCCGAGTGCCGAGATCATAGGGTCAGACCAGGCAAAAACTCGGACTGCACTGGGCCACAAAGAAAATTAATATGATCTAAAGTGTGTTTATGAAAATATTATCATCTGTAAAAATTTAATATTCCAATATTATTATTTGTTAGAAAATAATTGTTTAAATTTTTACCGGAGGTAATAGTAATTTAATTAATAACCATTTTTAAAGAGTACCTAAGATTCCAATTAAAAAATGAAGTTATTAAATTGTTTAAACAAGAATACCCAATTAAAAATATTAATATTAATCCCAATTAAATCACACTTATGTTGAACAGTGTAATTAGCTCCCGTGGAGAACAATAACGAGTTCCAATACAATTTAATATTCTCAATTGTCTACTGCTGAACATTACATTATACCCTAGCAAGAACCGAATGTTTGGAAGGCGTGTTCAACCGGCGGGAGATTCATGATAGCCATCAGCAGGAATGATCGATGATTTACCTTAATGATCCAAAGGCCGGTTTCTATTGTTTATTCCAAATTAAACAGGAGAGTAAATCCCCAATAATTGGTGAAATATGGCTTAAACCTAAATTTCCAAGTGGGTAAGAGTATAAAAGTCTCGTCATAATCCACTATTCAATCGCTGTTTCTTATGTAAACACATTTAATAATCACTTGCTTCGGAAATAGCTGCATTGACTCTCTGCTCGCCCAAGATTAGATTGATTTTCATTTAAATGATATTCGAAGGCGTTCGATGGTTACGACAATGACCCTTGAGGTCTACGTCACTCTGGATTGTCAGAATAAAATACAAATGTAACAAACATTGATGAATTATATAAAATACAATGCGCTTTCAAGGAACATCGTAAAGATTATTTTGCGAACAATTTTATTGTACACGTTATTCAAGTACAAACTAATCGCATTTTATAGCAAGGGTAAGTAAAAGCAAACAATTCATGGCTAACATATTTTCACATGCGTTAAAGCAACCAGCGGTTTGAACTTTAAACTATACTGAAATTTAATAGTTGGCATTTCCGTTTCCCATAATAAATGTGCTGCATATTCAATTTTTTCCGTTGATTTTTTATTATTCGTGATGAGATATTTTTATTTCACACTCTTAAGAACATATTGCTAATGTTAATGTATACAAATAGTTGTCTCTTCTAAACTGTTTTGATACAATACTATGGAATACTTCAAAAAATTAAAGTGTAAGGATAACTAAAGTTAGCCAAGGAAAAGACCAGCACCTCGATTAATGGATCCTCCAATGTGACCGCCGCCAAATCCAAGACCGGCACTTCCAGAACTCCCGCCGAGATTTCCTCCCAGGCTAAGGCCGTTTCCACCGAGACTGACACTTCCCGTATGATAACCTCCTGAGGTGGCACCACCTCCGTTCGATCCTAGGGATGCCCTATTGCCTCCCAGAGAGAGACTTCCCGAACCAGCAGCAGGTCCCAGCAATCCACTGGTAACTCCATGGGCCAAAGAAGCGGCCTCGTGGGCACCCGTTAATCCAACTGATCCAGCGGTGCTGGATTTGTGTCCATTAGCTCCAACTGTCAGGCCACCAGATCCAAGGGAAATGGATCCAGCATTGTTCTGTAACGAACTGGAGGCGCTGTTTCCAGAGGAACCGATACTCAAATGTCCGGCACTGATCTTCGAAGATCCCGCTCCAGAACCAGTAGATCCTGAGACTCCGGATGATCCGATGGCCAAATGTCCAGCCGAACCAATGTCCGAAGATCCCTTTGCACTGGAACCAGTTGCTCCAGTAGCTCCAATGCTCAGATGACCAACACCGAGGGACGCTGAACCAGAGCCAGTAGAACCCGAAGTGCCAATACTCAAGTGTCCAGCTCCATGAGATCCCGAGGTTAAGGCCGTTTGGGACGATCCGGAAGTGGTAGCGCCAGAAGATTGGATGTTCAGATGACCAGCTCCAAGAGAAGCGGAGCCCGAACCGGCATGCAAGGATCCTGATGATTCGACTTTCTTGTGTTCCGTCTTGATATGGGCAGATCCCGCTTGAGTTCCGGAGGCTCCAATAGTTGCGGATCCAGAACTGATATGGGAATGACTAGCACTGACCTTGGATGATTCGGTCTTGGAAGAGTAAGTTGTTTCAGAACTTTTAATGTTCAAACTTCCAACGCCATGAGAGGCAGCTCCGGAACCAGTAGCTCCAATATTCAGCTGACCAGTGGATGTAGTTCCTCCAGTGGATGCGATGTTCACATGTCCGGCCGAGACCTTCGAGGATTCTGCCTTGTGATAGGTGAACGTAGCTTTCATTGCACTAGCTCCAGTGACTCCAGAACTGAGGGGACCAGCACTAACCACCTTGCTTCCAGAGGATCCGATACTGGCCTGTCCAGCTGTGATCTTGGCAGAACCAGCGTGTACAGATCCGGAATGCTGGGAACCAGTTGACGAAGAGCCAATATTGGCCTGCCCGGTAGTTATTTTGGCAGAATGAGTTCCGGAAGTAGTCGAGGCTGAGCCAGAATTGGCGTGCAGTGAACTGGAGCCGGAAATCCCAGAAGATCCGATGCTCAGGTGACCAGCGTTGGATCCACTAGTTCCAGCGGTCTTAAGGGTTAAGTGGCCGGAACCAGACGAAGCACTATTAGCAATTTCACTGGCCACTTTATCTGCAGCCTGAGCTCCATGAGAGGCAGCAACTGACCCTGCAGAGTGAACCACATTGGCACCAGTTGCAGCCACTCCGAGAAGACCATTAGTAGCCTGAGCTCCATGAGATGCTGCTGTAGATCCTGCAGAGTGAACTACATTGGCACCACTTTCGGCCACTCCTAGAATTCCATTGACAACTTGAGCTCCATGGGAGGCAGCTGTTGATCCTGAAGCTCCAGTTCCCGCTGCATTCAGCACTGCATTAGCAGCTCCAATGGTCGCCTGACCGGAATGGGAACCGGTTGCTCCGGAAGATCCGATGCTTAAGTGTCCCGAGTTTGATCCACTGTTGCCAGAGGATCCGATGCTCAAGTGACCGGCATGCAAGGAAGCAGAGTCTGAATTTCCCGTGGCTCCGACACTCAAATGCCCAGTTCCCAGCGAGGCTGATCCGGATCCAGTACTTCCCGTGGCCGCATTGTGCAAGTGATCTGCCGCAAGCGATCCTGCCGAGTGAACAGCATTGACACCAGATCCTGCCGCTCCTAAAATTCCGTTTACTGCTTGAGCTCCATGAGAGGCGGCAGTGGATCCTGCCGAGTGAACAGCATTGGCTCCAGTTTCTGCCGCTCCCAAAAGTCCGTTTACAGCCTGAGCTCCGTGAGAGGCGGCAGTCGATCCTGCAGAGTGAACGGCATTTACTCCAGATCCTGCCGCTCCCAGCAGTCCATTGGCGGCCTGAGCTCCGTGAGAGGCTGCCGTTGATCCCGCAGAGTGGACTACATTGGCTCCAGTTCCAGCAGCGTTCAGCAGGCCGTTGGCAGCCTGATGCAAAATTGATCCAGAAGATCCAGCGCTTTGTGCTCCGAGGGATGCACCATTGTATCCGCCACCCAGATTCAGGCCAGGAAGACTTGCTTGGGCAGAGGAACCACCGCCACCACCTCCCAAACCAAGGCCACCGCCGCCGAAGCCCAGGCCAAATCCGGCGGATGCCAGGGAAACGCAGCAGGCAGACAGAAGTAATAACAATCCCGTGGGAACCATTGTCGCAAAGTCACTAACTGCTTTCCGAAAAAATGGCTAGCTTTTATAGAACCGAAAATACGCCTAGTGGCAAAGACGTCATAGAAGCTACAGTTGAGTCTCGCTACCTCGAAATCATGCCTTTAGCTCGAGATCTGTCATCAAATATCATCACACTATAACATTTAGATAAACTTGTAAATTACATTTTTTCATAGAAGGAGAGTGTGATAAACATAAGTTATCCAGTTATAGTTTAACAAAGTGTCGAAAATAGTAGCCTTTTTTAATTACAGTTAACCAACATTATTAGAGGTAAACCTGTAAATTTGAAAATTGGTGACGATTTCTTCGTTAATTTATTCGAAGAAGATGGGGGAAACGAGTTCCTTAACATTTATCATCATTTTTTGCGTCTGGGAGGTGCTTATTCGGTTAGGGGATTCACCATAGTCTAAAAATATAGCACGTGCTGTGGACAGGTACCGAAATTAAGGTCAATCAATTCTTGTCTTCAGAAAGATGCTATATACTCTTCTTAATATGAACTCTAAGTCGGTTAAGTCTTAAGCACGCAACATTTTTAAAATCTTAAGCCAATTATAGGGTAATATATAATACTGAACGAAAATGTAAGTGTAAAAAGTGTACTTAATATCTTGTTGGAAGGTACTTGATATATTTAAATTTATTTATTTCCCTGTCGAATTTCTACAGACCATTTAGCAAACAGTACAAAATAAGTCAACTTTAATGAAAGAGTATTCTCACATCGCATTAGGTTATGAACAATTTTCGTATCTGTATTTTTCTAGCAATTAATTTACCTAATCAAAGCATGATAAAATTAGCATCGTTTTTACAGCTGCTATGACGACCAAAGCCATACGTCACAGTCGTGTAACAATAATAAACTAATACCCGCCAATTTCTCGTAGGTGTAACCAGTAAAACAAGAATATTATTTTCCGTCTTTGATGATTTATTCGCCAGATTTTCTTGGGGTAAAACTGGCAATTAATATTTTCGAGCTGTGTCGGTTAACGATTTTTATATTTTGTATTGATAAGTTAGATTATTCTATATTTCGCTCTCAACCCTTTTAAGTTGAGTCGATCGGTTCAACATGCCCGGTTGATGTCGCCATCTTAGACACAGTTTTTCACTTAACTTGGTTGCTGGAGTTGCAGGAAAAGTGCAGCTGAGTAGCGCTGAGCTCAACTGAAATGCAAATGGCTAGACAATGTGGACCGAAAAGCCCAAGAAAGTCGAACCGGGGATGGGAAAAGCAGGAAAAGCGACAGCTTCTTGGCCCCGGTGTCAGCTGTTGGCCCACTGGCATGCGCTGGGGAAAATGGAAAATTGTGCTCGCAGGAAATCTGCTTACAAATGCATGTATCTTGGCCCGCCAGCTGGCTGATGTTGATGCAAAATCTGTTACGGCTTTTGTGGGGCGAAAGAAACACTTGACTTCCGTTTCCGCTCAAGTTCCCCAAGCGCACTTGAAGATTCGAAATGCTATGCAAATAGGGGCATCTTTTCCATATTTAAGGCAAAGTGCAGCGAAGAGCAAATAAATAAATAAATATTTAATGCGGGTGGCAAAATGGGGCTACCTTGGTTTTTTCTTATGCGAATATAATTTTGTCACCCTAATTTTTGTCACACTAAAAATGCTAATTTCGATTAGGAAAATATAAACCAGGCTTTACAATCTAGGAAAATAAAAACGAATCTTCAACATTTACTAATTATATTTTTGTTTAAATAAATACCTAAATATATGAGTGGAATACTTTAAAATATTTTCAGATACTTAGGATACCATCGATCTGCCTCGAATTCCCCTTCTGGATCGATTAGCCTCTTCATGCGAGTCCTCGGGCAGCTTTCCAAGGACCTGCAGCATTCGCCGGTATAGCATTTTCCGCACATCGATGGCCCACAGGAAATCCATGTGGTTGAACTCCTTCTGAGGCACCAAGTACTTTCCAGTCACGTTGCCCAAGTCATCGCACATGGACTCCACATCGTTGGGATGGCACAGCAAGTCATTCGTCGAGTAATACACAAAGGTGGGCACTGTCACCTGACTCAGGTTATAACGTGGTGGCAGGTGATCCCTGTACAGCTGCATGTTCTTATTCGAACTGTAGCTGTACGGTGCAAAGCGGCCGCTCTTGATGATCTGGATAAAGTGCTTAACCTGCTTGGCAGCCACTCCGGCCGGATAGTGACCCAGGATGACGGGAAACATTTTCTGAAATATAAGAACAAGGTTCAAATTATCTATATTGGCAGTTTTGTATTAACTTACCCTATTGAACTCGTTCCAGTTGCGACCCACGATCCCGAACACAGCCTCTATGCACAGGCGCTCCGTCTCCTCAGTCATGCGGCACAGGAAGCGGAACTCCCCGTTGAACATCTCCCTGATCGAGCTGCCTACCAAGCTCTGAAAAAACGTAAAGTCTTAGGTCAATATATGTATAGCATGAGTTTGAGATAAGACCTTAATCAACTAAATAAGGGGGGACTTCCAGAGAATTATATTTGAGCATACTCGTATATATTTTCTCCTCCAATTTGTTAGCATCAAAAGGTTTTTCAATCCCAAAAATAATTATAATTTATATTTCTCAAAAGTCAAATTTAATCTCACTAAAAATCAGGGACCGTAAATAACAGTTATTTAAGATTTTTATTTTAAAAGGCCTACTGAGATTTGTACAAGTTTTTATTAACAATTTAACTGGTTTTTATGCACTTTATAGACATGAACAAATAACAGTAAATTTGCTTTCCAGATTTGTTGAAATGCATATACTTTGTGGACAAGAGTAAAAAGAACGTTATTTTTGACGTTTAAAACCAAATATCACAGTAGTCTTTATACCCGTTACTCGTAGAGTAAAAGGGTATACTAGATTCGTGCAAAAGTATGTAACAGCTAGAAGGAAGCGTTTCCGACCCCATAAAGTATATATATTCTTGATCAGGGTCACTAGCCGAGTCGATCTAGCCATGTCCGTCTGTCCGTCTGTCCGTCTGTATGAACGCTGAGATCTCAGAAACTACAAAAGCTAGAAGGTTGAGATTTCCCACACATATTCTTTGGCTTCCTACGCAGCGCAAGTTTATTTTAGCCGAGCGCCACGCCCCCTCTAACGCCCACAATCGCCCACTTACGATTTTAAAATGGGTCCTGCGCCCACATCTTTAAAGATTTCCGAGAAGTATAAATGCAATTTTGTTGTGTATATTTATACCTATCGAAATGTAGAAGACATTTTTCAAATCGGACCATTCATTAAAAAGTTATACGCAATCAAAAATTATATATCTATCTCCCTCGCACTCCTTTAGCTTAGTTACGATTATTAGTCGGGACACCAACCCGACACAGCGTTCGCACTCCCTTTAGCCGAGTGACGGGTATTAGATAGTCGGGACAACAACCCGACTATAGCGTTCTCTCTTGTTTTAAAATAAAAATCACAAATAACTGTTATTTACGGTCCCTGCTAAAAATCAAGTGATTTCTGAAATACCCACTGAATATAGTTAGCCAAAAGCATGTTTTGCCATAGGACATTTATGGAAAGTTTTAAATTTAAAACTTACTTTAATCTTAGCGTACCACTACCATATAGACATATTCCATGCCTTACTCACATTAAAGTACAGGCTGATGGCTCTGATGTAGGGATGGTCCTCGGTCTCCTTGGCGTAAACGGCGGGGGCGAGGGCCTGCATGGAGACGACCTTGGCGTTGTAGGCGGGCCGCATGGAGCACATCACGAAGAAGGATGTGCAGCCCTGCGAGTGGCCGGCGTAGTGCAGCTTCGGGAATCCGGTGACCTTTAGCACGTGATCAATCATCGCGGGCAGGTCGTACATGCCGATCTCGTGCCAACTGAAGTCCCAGAACTTGGACTCGTCCGGGTCCAGGGTGGTGTGGTTCCTCGAGTAGCGGTTGCCCCGCGCGTTCCCCAGCCAAACGTCGTAGTTGTGGTCGGCCAGCAAGTAGGCTGCAAAGTGGGCTTCGGTCGTAATCACTTGGCCATTAATCACGGACGACGCGATGGCACTTACCCAGGCTCACGTTGGGGCCCATTACCACAAATCCCGCCGAGCTGTCCACGAGTCCGTGCTGCAGGAGGAATGGCGGGGCGCCCTGCTTGCGGATGCGGTGCATGGTGAGGATGTATCCGTCCTCAGTGGTCACATGATGCACCTCCGCCTCGTAGCCGTACTTGGCGATTAATTTGTCCTGTTGACGAAATGTGTGAGAGGCGATGACAAGGAGGGGGAAGAAATAATCTCCAACATGGTCCAGCACTTTGGAAAATACCAAAACTTCGCAAAATATAAAGATATTTTTTTATATTTTGTGTTTTTGTTAAAATAAATGTTTATATTTCCGTTCGAACCCTCCTACCATATTAAAGAATTTTTTACATAAAAACTGTGACTTTACTAATCCAACGGGCTTAATATTTTGAGCACTATAAGATTTAAATTTAAACTGTATAATGAGATCGTTTAAACTTTGTTGTTGATTTTGTTTAATTAAAATTAAATCTATTTGCTCTTTTTTTTTAAAGTAATCAACTTATAAGTCCAAATTTTTAACCTGAGTTAAAAGGTTTTTTAATATTTTTTAAACATGCTAAGGGATACCAATTTTTTTTATTCCTTTGGTAGTTCTAATTTTGTTTCCTACCACGCTGAGGGTTGAATCCTGCTTGATGTTTTTGCGCTGCAGTCGCTCCTCCAGCGTTTCGTCCTCGACGCTCTCCTCCTCCTCTTCCTCCTCCTCCTCGTCCTCTTCGTCCTCCTCCCCGCCGATCAGCTGACCTTGAGTCCTGCAGATGAACACACAGAGTCCCAGAAGCAGAATCAGTCGCATCCTCAGGCTGCACCGCATCTTGATTTATCCACAAATTTCGGCAAGTTTCACTTTCACGGAAGCTACTCTTTCTCGGGAAGTCAACCTCAACGCAACGCGACGCAAACTC